CACACCAAGGGTTTGATATGTCAACAGTAAGATAAATCTTCTTCTTTCTATAATATAAAAATGAATCGCTGAATGTGTTGGTAAGCGCAAATCTCGAGAGCAGCTGAACCGATTTCGCTAATTCTTTTTTTAGAATATTCCTTGAAGTACGAGGATGGTTCTTACGGTGAGAAAAATTTAAAAAATTGCCTGAAAAAGTCTAAAAACAACACTTTTCTATACTCCCATACAAAAGATTCGTAATAATACTTAAAAGTAAATTTGAACTTTAATACCATACCATAAAGTTTAAGTGGAGAGATTCCGGGAAGGCAAAACAATTGAGTGACGTTAGTATCGTATAAATATTATTAATGTCAATAATTTTATAAAAATAATTATTTTGATAATTTTCATCTACATAAATGGCAAGATAAAATAGTTCTTTTCTCCTGTTTGTCAACCGATTTTCATTCTTTTTTTGGTTTAATAGCTAATAACGAGCTTTAGTGTTATCAACAAAAAAAGTACGTGTGTGCAATTCACACATGGTAGAAGTGAAATTTCAGAAAAGTAACCTACGAGAGATGAATATCAGGAGTAGGATAATATAAGGTTTATTTTTTTATTTTTTTATAATATTTTAACCAAGTTTAAAAGTTATTACACATTTTATTTGACATAAATATATGTACCTACATAACATATTATTTAGTAATTAATTTTATTATTTTTCACTTACTGTGTTATGTTTTCTAACTCAAATATGTAATTAAATAAGGCATATTAGGCATATTACAATAATATATTTATAGATTCTATACTAATATTATAAATGTGAAAGTGTGTTTGTTTGTCCTTCTTTCACGTCAAAACGGAGTGACGGATTGGCGTGATTTTTGTGTGAAATAGTTGGAAGGCTACTTTTCACCACGGGAAAACACGTTATAATACAACCCAAAAATTATTTATGATCAGAATTACTTGAAACTTGGTATTAATGCTCTTCAATACAATTAAATAAATACGTGTTTTAGCATTTTTCGAAATACATCCCATAAGGGAGTAAAATGTGGGATGAAAGTTTGTATGAAATCTACCTTTTCCGTTTTGTTATAGTTTTATCGCGAGCGAAGCCGCGGGGTTCTACTAGTGTACGATATTTATTTTGTTGACGACATACATAAGTTTGTATTTCATAGTATTACTATGAAAAAGAAAGTTAATTTTGCGGCCGGACGCGTGAAACGAGAAATGTTTTTTATATCAAAATCTACTGCCCAGGTGGTCCCGTAGTCATCAGGTCAGGATCTGAAGATGGGATCCTCGAGATATCGAGGGAAATCTTCAAATTTTACACGCACATTTGAAGCGATTTCGGTTTTTTTTTTTATAGTGACTCTTGCATTTGCTTTTAAAATACAATATTCTTACTTTTCTACTAAATACTTTCTACGTCTACACTAAAAATAAAAAAATAAAAACTTTTTGAAAAAAAAACCGACTTCAAAACACTAAAAAGTAAAAAATAACTAAATATCATTAACTATAGACACCTAATCAGATGTTTTAAAAGTCGGTGTGCTTTGATTTGCATCGGCTGGCACCGACTTTGAAAATAGGTATCTGACTTCCATTAACTTTTTTGTTTTTCTGCATGAACGCAAACGAATCGCGAGCAAAACTAGTATTTAATATAATTATGATGTTCTCCTGACCGATTCCGGCCACGGCGGCCAATCTCATTGAGACTAGCCAACTGCGCAGGAGATATTATAGTGCACAAGTGTACGCGCAGACATAGGTGCACTCTCTATTCCTATCACTCTCATACTCCGGTGGGACGACTGCTCGACACGACCGGTAAGAGTTAAGGCGCAGGACCGACGGCTTTACGTGCTCTCCGAGGCACGGGGGTGAAACACCGCCAACTTCCCAACTCCGGGCTGTTACTAAGACTTACTATACAGAAAGACTCAATAACTAAACTTGGCCCGACCCGGGACTCGAACCCAGGACCTCCGGGTGTGCAGCCGTACATGCTAGCCACTACACCACCGAGGCAGTACAATTATATATAGAGAAGAAAAGAAACTACAGCTAGCGTCTAATAGAAATACTTGAATACTAATAACATTATTATTGTAATTTTTAAGTGATTTAGGTGTATGCAATTGTTACAAGACACTAAGCTTTCCTTCCACTTGTGTGTAGTCGGTTAGAAACTGGCCTTATTCAACTAAAACAACCATGAAACAGTATTGAACAAATACTGTACCTACGCGAGCATTTGTAACCGTATTTACTATGTGATTCCATATTCACTCAACCACATATTTATTTTGACTCGACTGCGGCGAAAAACCAAAGAGGGTTTTGTATTTGACCTGTACGTATGTAAACAAAAACAAATCTATCACACGAGAACCGTATATATTTTCCGGATAAAAACCCGAATAAAATATTTTAAATATTAGGTATATTATTGTTTATCTACACATGTAAATCTTGCGTCAAGATTTTATAACATATAAATTGTGTACTGTAATAAATTGTTGGGTTTGATTTAATTTAAAATTTATTTTCTTTTTTTAGAGCATTCTAATAAAGGTTTGTTTTAAGAAATGTTTTTTTACAATTAATTTATTTTTTAGTTTTTCTTTTATTCGTATTCTTTTCAGCAAATCTTTTCATTTAATACCTACTAGCATTGCCCGCGGCTCCGCCCGCGTTCAGATGACCAAAAACTAAATTCTTAGGTGTTACATATTAGTATACTCTTACATTGCAGTTTTTGTATTTTTCCTCAGAAATAAGATATTTTCCCGCGGTAAAAAGTATCCTAGGATCGCGCGCTACATCGCCCGGTTTATATAGCTTGAGCAGGCGGTCGAGCGATGCGGGGCAGAGGGGATGGACTCGCCGTAGGCATCTCAATGCTCGCCAAGCATTAAAAATGTTTCGCTACTAATTACTTCTAACAACGATATCTCAAAAACTATTCATCTGATTGATTTAGTGTAAAGAGCAATTTTAATCTGCATTAAATGACTAAGCTAACTAAAATATTCATTTGGATAAGGATTAATACCGAACTAAAGAAAATAACTTTGAAAATAACGTAATGTTTTTAATTAAAAATGTTAACATAAAAGTGGTTATTGTAAGTCAACCGTAAGAGATAGAGATATGCTATCGCGGACTTTTTTGTAGCATTTTTATAGATTTTGAATTCTCTAGTACATTACTTAACTGTATCTTTGCTAGTTTACGCGGCGTTCGCGTGGAAAGTTCCCATTTGGCGAGATTTTTTGCGACCTCTTCAACATTTGTCGCCGTATTTCAGCTAATTTACATAAAAGCATAATAAATTATATACCTAAACCTTCCTCAAGAATTACTCTTTCTATTGTTGAAAACCGTATAAAAATCCGTTCAGTAGTTTTCGAGTTTATCGCGTACAGACAGACAGGAGGACAGACAGGAGGACAGAAAGACGCGGCCGGGGGACTTATTTTTATAATAAGTATAGATATATCACAGGGGCGCATAAAAAAACATCGTCAGCCATCTTTAAGAGTTCGCCAAATTGGATTTAGAATGATTTTTAATCAAATTTAACTTGTAGGATTTGATTTCAAACAGACACCGGGTAAGGTGACAATATATAAAAGTTTGTAATGATAAATCGTCATTGTGCGATATCCGCCATATTCGATTTACAATGATATCACTTAATTCATCGTATTTCGCTTATCAAGCCCTTTCATTTGATATCATAGGGGTTAATGTGAAAATTATAATTCGCCATTTTGTAACTTCCACCATATTGGATTAAAAATGGCGGCTTTTAGATAATCGTTCATTGTTTCGGAAACCAAACTAGTGTGCCAAATTTCTGCTCAATCGGACACTGGGAAATGGGTCAAATTTTACTTAAAAGATTCCAAGAAACAGACCCGTACAGGTGAAACTAAATAAAAGCTTATAAAAAGAGATAAATCCATTTGGGCCTACAACAAAAGACAGCAGAATTAACACATTAGTTACATACACCTGTATGTATCCCAATAGAATCACTTATACATTAAATTCCCACGATTAAAATAATAAACAGAATGTCGACATCGGATATTTTAATTTTTATATATATTGTTAAAGACATTCCATAAACTTACATCGAGTAGGTTGGACATCAATTTTAGATAATAAGTTTAACTTGTAATTTTACAATAAATTACTTTTGTTTTTTTTTATTATTTTAATCGTGGGATTTCAATGTATTATGCGATTCTCTTGGGACACCTGTATGTAACTCATTACTAAACAATAAACAAACATTAATAAACAATTAACATTAATGAGACGGGAGCCTTTTAGGGGCAAGACATCACAGATACGACGGAGGAGTCTAGGACACTGGACAGCTAAAAAGAATACGAGTAGGAGGAGCTTCGTCAAAACCACATTCACACAGATGGAATGGTTCCTGACGGCTGACCTACGCTAGGTGTACGTGTATGCGTGCCCAAGGCGCAAACAGTAATAAATAATAATTACTACTAGTAGATATGACCCAACGATCCACAAGTTCTAGACGATAAAACTAAGGGAGCCTTGGAATTTTTGCCGGAAGGGTAGTGCTTCCCGTTAGAAGATTTTGACAGGTGCCAATTATTATTCCAAGCTTGCTCTAAATGTTTTTTTACAAAGAGCAAAAGATCTTGAGCCGAGTTATAAAAGTGCTCAAGTGTCCCATATTGAATCGCAGATTTTAAACAAGAATCCGCGTTATGCACTGACACTGACACTGACCGCAGTGACACTGACAGATGACAGATTTTCAAATTCTTGAGTACAACGGCGCACGTTAAATTTGATTCGCACAAACTTTAAAAAAAGATAGGTATTTATAAGCATTGGATATGAGGTTAAGGTAACTTTAATTTTAAAACGTCAGATTTACTTCATAGAGTACCTATATTGCTACATATATAAAATTTACTTCCACAACTTAGACAATGGATAACGACGACTATTCTCACATTACTTCGCAATTAGATGCTAGAGAAATATTAAGATACTTAAATAACTTAGGCATTCGGAATATAAGTGGAGAAGTACTTAAATATTTCATAACTGGTAAGCAGTTTTGTATCTATTTGAGGTCCTTTTATTTTTATTCGGGGTTTCTATTATATTCTTATATAAAAGTTATAGTAAGTTGCATGCTGTTTTCATATCATAACTTTCTTTAAGTGTTTAAAATATTGCATTCTTATATTTGTGGAAACATCCAAACAACTTTTTTTATAATTCCAATTATACTTTAAATATATAATAATTTATTGCTTTCAGATCTCAAAAAACTTATTAAATATGACCTACAACATAAAAATGAAGATCAAAGTGCTAGAACTCACAAATCTGATAGTATTGGTCCAGAAAGGTTACATAGTGCAAGTACATTTTCATCTAGAATAAAGTCAAAAGTACAAGATACTGATATAGTGTGTAACAGAATGTGTCAAAAAATTAGGAAATTACCTAATATTCGGACTACTTACTCTGCTCCTAACTTGGGTAATAAAAAAGAAGAAGAAAATTTACCAAGAAGAGCATGTTCATGTGTTAGAATCGAAAAAAAAAGAGAAACTACAAAAGAGCCGCATAAAGTTACTTTAAACAATAATTGTAAGTTATACAATATACATATCTATACATATAATAAAATTGTAAGTAAGCCAAATCTGTATATAAAATATTTTTTGGGAAATCTTATTGAAATACACATTATTATCGATACAGAGGCCTCTGAATTTTTGTCTGTCTGTCTGTTACCACATCACAGAAAAACCATTGGAGGGATTTTGATGAAATTTGGTATGGTGATAGCTGGTTATCTGGGTGAACATATAAGATACTTTTCACTGCGGTAAAATATCTCTTTTCTGAGAAAAAATACAAAAACTGCATTCTAAGAGTAAACTAATAAATAAAACCTAAGAATTTGCTTTTTTGGCATCTGAACACAGGCGGAGCCGTGGGCAATGCTAGTCTTGGATATAAAACTTTATATGATAAATGATAATATTAAAATCTGAAATGTATGGGGTTTTATTTTTTAAGTACATAGGTAGTTCAACATAATTTTAAACATATTTACATATATTCAATATTCAACTTTAATATATTTCAGTTATCAAAATTCCTAAGCAACCAATTAGAAGAAAAAATGATCCTGTTGCTTTATACCACTACTACACATCACTTTGGGCTAAGTATAAGCCAAATGTACCTGGAGAGAATAATTGGTCAGATCTGAGATGGAATATAAGACAGAAAATGGTAGGAAATATTGGTTCACAGACATCTACCAAAGTGAGTATTACTCTTTCTTAAATTAAATATTTAATAAATTTCACAAAATATTCTCTACCTTAAACATTCCATGCATTAATTGTTATTAATCAAATTTTAATTTACAGGTTGTAGAAAAATAAGATTAATTATATAAGAATAAATCTTCAACTGACGACTGATATTTTATTGTAAAATTTCTGAAGTAACTTATTTTTTATAAGTCCATTTAATAAATATATTTAATAAATAAAACAAATAAAAATATGTGTATCTATTTTATTTACAACTCGCACACTTATACTACATTATATTTAAAACTAAACCTGGTTTAATTTAAATTCTGCTTGTTGTTGAGTAGTTATTGAATGTAAATTTTCTAAAATTCTATCTTCAATTTTCTCTGCTGCAGCTTGAGTTAAAACAAGAGTGTCATGCTTCAGCATTGAATACACATTAAGACCATATACTGGCATAATATTTATATGACCAAGATTGTCTGTCGCAACTGTAATGTTCCGGGGAGCATAGTCAGTGCTGAAATATAAAAAAAGTTAAGGAAATTCTCAAAGTAACCCATTTTATGTATTACAAAAGGGATAAAATTTGTTTATTTGTATGTAAGAGACAATTTTTTTCTCCTGCGGAAAATATGAACCCCGAGCCATTCGATTCAAGATAGAGTGCAAATGCATTTTGAAAAAATTCAAGAGCCACTTGCAAAAGTTGAAAAAGTTATTATCTAGAAGAAAATGGGGTTTGATTTTTCGCAAATATCTCAAAATCTATTTAACATTTTTCAAATTTGAAAAAAGATGAGGAAATTTTCCAAAAAAGAATCTACCTCCCAGAACTGTAGGACCAGTATTTATAATTGTCCCACAAAATTGAAAATACGGCCGAAAACGGGGACTCTGGCTTGTGTAAGCACCACCCACTTTTTTAAAAATCCAAAAAAAATAAAAATTTACTTAGGTTTTAAAATTTGATAAAAAATAAATAAATTATTTTTCTCAAAAAATAAGACATGGTTTTGTTTTATTATGTAGAAAAAGAAAAAAATATTCAATAAAAATTTAATTGTTTATAACAAACTGTTTATTAAATATAAAAATAAACAATGAAAATTTTAAATAAAAACATATTTTTGAAATTATTTATTGTTAACAAGCCCACCCCTCCCAGCTTATGCAAGGCAGAGAACCCCCTTTTTCCGCCGTATGGTCAACCCTCTGGGAAAATTATAAATATAAGGCTTACATTTCCGGGAGGTAGAACTTTTTTTTGAGAAATATCCTCCTCTATTTGAATCTTCTTTCAAATTTGAAAAATGTCAAATAGCTTTTGAGATATTTGCAAAAAACCAAACCTCATTTTTTTCAGTTAAGTGTTAACAACTTTTACAATTTTTGCAAGCCGCTTGTGAATCATCTACACACTATTCTGAATCGAATGACACCTCATTCATAATTTTTGGAGGTGGAGAAAAAAGTTTGACCCAAAAAGCACTTGATGACTACTTATATATATGGTACATTTTTATTAATATACCATAAAATAGGAACCTTAGGTGATGACTTGTCTATAAAATGATTTATCAACTTACTCATCAACTATTAATACAGAGGGACCCCAATTTCTTTTCTCAACAAGATCAACTATATATTCTGGCTCATCTGTTGGCAACTCCAGATCCTTTACAACATGTAAGTCATCTTGAGCAAATTTTGCTGATAGAGTTGAAGTAAGACCATGTATACGTAAATGAAATGGTAGCATATAAAAATGAGTTTTGCCAGACCGAGGGCCGTGAGCGATACCACCCCCTTTAAATAATGGAGATCTAATTGAGCCATGACGAGCTCGTCCCAATCCTTTTTGTGGCCATGGCTTTTTACCACCACCCTTCACTTCACTTCTAGTTTTTGTATGAGCCCATGATACCCATCGAAATTTCTTTTGCCAAATTATATTCTGGTGGATAATATCTATACGAGGTACTGCTGCATATACTAATGGATGCAATTCAAATAGGCCAAGTTTCTTTTCTTCAATGGTATCAATATTTTCAATCCATATTTCTCTTGGTTTCGTAAATTGAGGTGGAAATTTCCAATCCTTTTTTGTTACACTTATTTCTCTGTTATTATTCACAACATTTGCAACTGATGAGCATAATCGAATTTGGGAGATTGTCGATATATGTAAGTTTTTTATAGCGTTTATCAGAGCAGAGCTCATTTTAATAATATTGTTTATAAAATGAATACAATTTATATCTCAGAAATTTTGTAGTTAGACCAATATAATATAAAAATTATGAGTTTTTTGTTGTTGCTTGTTAAATAACCTAAAATTTTCACTCTACTGTCAAATGGATGCCCATGTCAGTTTGACAGTAACATCGTAGAATAGATGATTAGATGCGGTGATATGGCATATGGAAAGGACAATGAGGAAGATTTCTTGAAAAGAGGGCGCTATACGTATGGTCTATTTACATTCAGTCTGAGGTTAAACAATTTATTATGATATCTCTTTTGTACCTGGTCTTTGCTTCTATTGTGTTCGCATCTTACCTGTGAAATATATTGTACCTGGAAGTTAGACTAACTTAAGGAAGAATTGAAAAAGGAGAGGTGCATCCTGTGTTGGTCCTGACTCCTGACTGACTGATGGATCAACACAGCCTTTTTTTTTAACGTTGGGAAATGCATTTACGCACGAGGTGTGGGACTCACCGGCAAAGCCAGTACTACCCATTAAAACCCAACAAAACCTTCCCCCGTCTTAATGGGGCGTCGCAGGATCGCTTACGCATTCAACTACGACGCCCCGACGGCAGGTCTGCCGAGGCAGACCACAACGACCATGGGGTTGGTCCAAACTCCAAAGTCCACACTGCTATCAGAGAAGTGCCAGGAGCAACCCGCATGGCACACCGCCCTCCGAAGAGGGCCACCTCCCACCGAAGTGGGCCACCTCCCTGTGCGTTTTTGGGGGACATATTCCTTATATAATGTAGGCAACCGCCAAGAAAGGATTTTTCAAAATTCATCCCCTAAGTGTTCATTCAATTCATCCCTCATTTTACCCCCTTTTGAAATTGAATTTCGAAATTCCATTAAATGTCTTCTAGTCTACAACAAATAGCGCCTCTCACCCTCGCTTCGCTCGGGTAGATACGTTTTGACGGTTAGTATAAAATATTAAATCATCCCTTAAGGGGGTGAAAATGGGAATGACAGTTTGTATGGGGGAGCCACGCTAGAGACGAACCCGAGCGAAGCGAGGGTGAGTCGCTAGTTAATTATAAACCTATTATTTGTAGGTATTAGGTATATATTTTTGTAACTACCTACTTCTTAAAATGTCTTCTATCGTGGACTTTTCTGCAGGCTTTTGTAAGACCTACAAACTAGTACATTGTTTTGATGTATCTCTAAAGTTTAGCCAGCGTGAGCCATATAATCGTACGAATACATTTTTTTAGGTTCAGCAATTTTCTACAAAATATTTTCATAATATTATATAGTACCTACACAAACCTCCCTCGTTTATCACTCTATCTCTTAGTGAAAACCTTACCAAAACACGTTGCGTGCATTAAAAGAAGTACGCGAAGAAACAGACAAAAGCAGGTTTTTTATAAACTACTCATATGAACATAGGGAGACATATAGATATTATACTATATGTAGCGACTTGCGTTCGAACTAAATTTTGCATTTTACCATGACAACTCAAATTGGCTTCTGGGTTGAAACTAAACAGCTGTTAATAAAAAAAAATTTAATAAAAACATATAACCCGACTGTTCAAAAAGAGAACTAAAAAGATGGAAACAATATGCAGTCGGAGACATAGGTACGTAGATGCTTTTACATTATGTATTTCCTTGCTGGGAGATGTATGTAATATGTATAGTATAATTAATATATAAATTATGTTAAATATTTTCTTATTATTATATTAAATTATTAAATAACTACACTAATATTAAACGTGGTTAGATAGTTGATGAGTTCTTTACGTCTTCACGATATTGGGTTACTTGTAAAAACTTGTTCTTGTGAAAACACCCTTAAAAATTAAAAAAATTGAAAAATCGACAAATTTTACTTTGTAAAGTGCATTTTTTTCAATTATCATTGAAAAAGTGTACTTTACTGACTGACTGATGATCCTATGTTAGCCTATGTTACTCCCTATAACATCAGCTATTTTCCAGTGAAAGTCCAGTCAAAATCAGTCCAGTCGTTTCAGAGATTATCCGGAACAAAGAGACAGACAGACAAAATTAAAAATAAATGTGTTTTCTTATAAGTAGGTACCGTATATAATTTCATATGCATTAAGTAAAACGTTGTTATTTTAATATTAGAAACAGATACTTCAATTTTATTTATCTGTATAGATTAAGTTGATATTTACAAAATCTAGTCATAGGATAGAGTTTTGTTAAAAAATCGTAAAAAATGAATAAAAAAAAACTTTGATAGTAACTTTTAGAAATATGTCTTAAATTTATAAAATAACCCTTTAATCTACTGTGCATCCATTAAATGCTAAGATATTGATTATAAAAAAGAGAAGAATCCTTTTTTTATTGAAAGTCGAATATCTTAGGAAAAAATCGACAGTTTAGTAAAAAAAAAATATTGTTAATTTTTACATTTTTTTATGATTTTTTAACAAAACTATGACTACATTTTATAAATATTGACTTATTTTTTTAAATCAAATCATAAAACTATAACATAAAATCATAAAACTTCAGGTTTTCAATATTTTGTTGCCAAACCGGATTCCGATTAGAGTATTAATTTATTTGTATTCAATATCTACAATCTGTAAAGATAAATAAAATTGAAGTGTCTTTTTGTAATATAAAAATAAAAGCTTTTTACTAAATGCATATGAAATTATACAATTTTTAAACTTTTAGTCTTTCTGTCTGTCTGTTTATTACGGCTAATCTCCTAAACAACTGGACTGATTTTGACAGGACTTTCACTAGTAGATAGCTACTGTTATAAGGAGTAACTTAGGCTACTTTTATTTTAGAAAAAGAATTAGGGTCCCGCTCAAAAAAAGTCATATCTAGGAACATACCAGAGCGAAGCAAGGGTAAGTCGCTATATTTCTTGTATAAATGAATAATGAAATATATCTTTAATCTGTAATGTTTACAGAATATGTATATAATGTTATAGAATAGAAAGTAACCATTAGATAGGGCGGATCAGGGTATATTATGAAAATTTAATTAAAGCAGTATTTTAATACAGGAAATTGCTAAAACAGAAAACTCCGTTCCAGCCAATAACGAGTAGTCAACGTAATATGAATAAGATAGCCATCTATAACTTTAAAATAGGTAGTGAAATGGGCTGTAACGAGCTTTTCGTTTTAATTAATATAAAATTTATATTTAAAAACTGAATCAAGCAAAGCATTACAGGATGTTTAATTTACTAATTGAATACGTATCTAGTAAAGTAGCCTGTAGCAGATAACTTTTTACCTATTTTATAATAACTAATTACGCCTACTAAGATAATATTGAAATCATAAAAAATGTGGGCTGACGTGAATTTCATAATGTTTTGTAAATTATACAGTTAATAGGTATTATAGTTAGTAGCATTTTGTACTTATTTTAAACCTACCAGTTTAGTGCTTAAAAGATAAATAGAATGTTTTCATCGCAAATAGATGTATTTAATAACTGTTAACTCGTAGCAGCTTGCTGCATATTTCTTGTAAGTTTATATTTAATATGTACATTGTACATACATAATAATAGTAAAATAGAACCAAAGTACAATCTTTACCTATATGAAATATTTATTTAAAACTCTTGACTAAGGTATATAGACCCTAAAACAATCGTTAGGTATTGAAATTTTAGTCTGTTCGTCTATAATATATCTAAATGTTATCTTCCCGTCCCGTTTGTCTGTTTAATTTATTTTTGTGTAGTCTACGGGAAAAACTCTCATTCCCACGGGCAAATAACTAATTTGGTAAAGTTATCATTCAAATTAATAATTCAATGATTTATTAAAGCTATTAGTAATAGCTAACAGGGTTAAAAATTAACATATTTAACAAGTGCGGTAAAATCTCTTACTCTCTTACTGTCTTGGAAAATACAAAATTTAGTTCGGGCGCTGATAAATAATAATTATATCTATACATAGGTACATATTACATAATATAATAAAAGTCGCTTTATATGCCTCTACATAAGCTAAGCGCTTAGATACTTCTTATAAACCACGCTACGGTTTTTGAATCGGTTTTCATTAACTCGAACTCGAAATGTCGAACTCGGTGCCAGCCAATGCAAAGCAAATCTAATATATTTTGATACGTAAAATACATAATATTTACCTATTAAATAAAATATTGTAGGCGGACACCGACTTCTAAAATATCTAATTAGGTATCTATTTAAATGAAAACCTCCGTTTAGTTATTTTTTACATTTTAGTGCCTGGAAGCCGGTTTTTATTTTTTGTTAAAAAGTTTTTCTTTTTCCATTTTTAGTGTAGACGTAATAAGCAGGTAATTTGTAAGAAGAAAGTTTTTTAATAACATATTCGAACAAACAATTTATTAAAAAAATATATTTATTGTTGATTTTTTTAAAAACCGCTCGACCGATTTCGATAAAATTTATATGGGACCACCTGGGAAATATACCCTTTGAAACGAAACAAATCCAAATTGGTTCAGGCGTCTTCGAGTAATCGGTGAACATACATAAAAGAAAAAGATTCCGACGAATTGAGAACCTCCTTCTTAGTGGAATTGGAAGTCGGTTAAAAAAGGTCTTAAAAAGGCCTGCAGAAAAGTCTGCAATAGCAGGTGTCTTAAGGTACAACATAGGTACGCTCAAAATAACTATATTTTTTTTTTAATATCACTCACTCTTTTATACATCATATCTCAAAATAAGGGCACGAAATCGAGCGAAGCGAGGGTAAGACGCTAGTTAAAAATAAAATAATTTGTCTACAAGTACAGGTATTATGTGGCAAAGAACAAAATTGGTTTTGCTTATGATGAACAGAATCAAAGCGAGATCCGACCTAAAACTAGAGCATTCATACGTTAGCAAACACAAATTACAAATTGGAAATACATAGTGAAATAGTTCGCGCTTACATCTGGTTTTGATTAGATTTTCAGTAACAAGTTTTCATTGTATTTATATCTACTATTGTAACTGA